TTCCCTGAACCTCGAAATGCTGCTCTCGGTATTGATGATATCTAATATTTTACTTCAGTGGACTATATGTTATGGAAATTATTTATTTGATGTAAATCGTTCACAACAGAAGACAAAAATATGATAGCGCTGCTGCACATAATATCTTAATAAAAATAAAATGAAAAGGTTCATTTGTCCACTTATTTTTTGTTGTACAAAGTAAAATGTAGTGTAAAACGTTTTACACTAACTGATTCGCTCAATATTTTTAAATGAAACTCAAATGTAACAAATCAGTATAAATATATCCTATGCATCTCTCAGGTTCTCAAAAAAACAGTTCAGAGAGGAAGGCCTACAGTATGTATTGCTACAGTGTGACTGCATACAATGTGCTGAAGAAGAGATCAGCAACGCCTTAGGTAAATGGTAGAGAATTCCGATCTCCTTACTGTTTGTGTTCTTACATAAAATAGAATAAAATACTAAAATATTCACAATATTTCTTAAAGATGCAATTTAATAATTTATTAATTGAACCTGTGGCAGCATGGTCCCTGTACTACACAATCTGCTTTACCTAAAATTAAAAAACAAACAAAAAAAATACAGTATAAAAAGATCCTACCCATTTTTGTGTCTTGTTTACAGATTCTAATGAATGTGTCCAGTGCTCTTTGTAATTATGGGCACATGGGAGAAGTGACAAATGTGTACTTAAAGCATCTTAATTCCTGTAGTTCTTTGAAATCATATATTTTCTTTGGTTGGGACTTGTTTAACCATGGCTTTGATCTTCTTTTAATAGAAGGCCACTCATATTCTTAAAGCCAGTAATTCTGATTTAAGTTTCATCTGCTCTTTTAATTGACACTGCGTTTCCTCTGTTCACTTTCATTGGCCAGCCCTCTGACAGGTCCTGTATGTTGCGCCACACAGCATTTGGGATCTGTGGGGAAAACAATAGTGCTGTAAATGGCCTTTAGGTCAGCACTGCCAGACAATAACATTACGAAATGGTTTGGGCCCACACGGCAGCAGTTAAATGTTTTTGCTTTAACAACTCTCTTTTGCCAGAGGCCTGCACCCAGACTGACCCCACCCAATTTTCCACCCCAAACCTTGTCTGTGTTACAAAGCGTTTTTCAGGACCCTATGCAGACAGAAGAATTCGCAAGGGAGTGAAACATGGGGAGGAGACGAGGAACTGGGCAGATTGATAAACAGGGGGCCATGACAACAAGACAAAGTTAAAAACCGGAGTGGGATCCCCTGAAGGGTCTGGGAGAAAAAAGGGTTACAGGACCAGGCGCTCCAAGTCCCGGACTCGGCTGGGTCAGGACGTCGATAGGAGGCTATGCCCTCAAGCTGCGGGCATAGGGCGACTTGGTGGTAGGTGGGCCTCCGGGCGTCCGTGTTCCAATGCTGAGCCTGGAATAGAGTGAGCGTCTGGCTTTTGAAGGTGGGCTAGATAGGAGGCAGGTGCACAAAGTCAAGTACAATGTGAAAGAACTGGACCGCCCTTAAAGGGGAGGGATTACAGTCATGACAGTCTTGCCAGGGTGAGGGCCTCTCTACTGCACTCCTGCTCTCAGGAATTCCATTCACTCATCACTTCACATAAGTCACAGCTTCTGGAGCAGCTCTCTCGCCTGCTCAGTCTCACCGTCTTTACGCTAACACTCACAGGTGCAGTTTCTGGCACATGTTCCCATGCCCAGACCTTTGGAGTCTTCTCACATGCCCGAGTCAGCGGCGCCCTGACACTGTCAGCACTGCATGCCTACCACCAGAGGTCAGCAGCCAGATTGACCCTTTTCTCCACCTGATACCTCGTTTGTCTAGATGGAGGACCCCCCTAGCACACCTGCCCTCTGGTGCACACACTAACTCAAATTTAGCTCACTAGTTCTCACAAAACTTAGAAAAAGTGATGGTGTGAAAATGTGATTTCCAGAATGAAAATAAACAGTTAGGTAGTACTCCGTTTACAAGGGGAGACTATACAGTTCAAAAACAAGTATTATTAATTTATTATTACTGTATTAATTTATTTAGCTGATATATTTAACCAGTTCAGTTTGCACTCATATAAATATTTAACAGTAAAACAGTGAGATAGTGATAAGATTTAGAAACAATTAGTAGAGAGATTAAAGGAAGATTACTTACTGTATATAAAAAATGAATTTTGTTCTAGGTATCCTGGGGCAAATCTAAAATTTTCAAACCTTTGAGAATTTCTATTTAACAGTGTATGAACTTCACTCTCACTCTTCCTCCCCTGAGTCCTCCTGTGCACCATATAAACAACCTCTTGTGTCAGGTTGTTTCCGATCAGAACGAGACTTCCTCATGCAGTCCAAGATGTTTTTGCAGACAGCAGTGTTGATGATGGTTGTTTCTGTTTTGATATTGGCAGAACAGCCTGTTTGCAGGATTCAGGGAAGAGCAGCTTTTCCAGACTTATCTAGAGACGGAGATATCCTGATCGGCGGGATGTTCCAAATCCACAGCAATAATGAAGAAAAAATATACTCCTTTAGAACCAAACCAGGGCCCCCAGAAGGGAAAAGGTTAGTTGTTTCTAAGTAACTATGTTTTAAATTCTACAGGTATGTATATTTTATACATTCTTGTGTTGTAATTCAAATCAGCTTTTATGTGTGAAGTTATGTTACAAACAATGCAATTTATAGATGCTAAACTTAAACATTCAAAACTAGCCAGAAATTAAACTTAGAATAACTAAAAAAGAATTATTATTTTTGTGCATTCCTCCTAGCTTTTACTCTGCAGAATTTCAGTCGGCACTGACGATGATCTTTACCATTGAAGAAATAAACAACAGGACTGATGTTCTTCCTGGAGTGTCTTTGGGATTTAAGATTTATGACACATATGGCTCCATACCTTTGGCTATAAGAGCAGCCATGGCTCTGATGAATGGAAATGAGGAAACTCTCTCTGACAGCTCCTGCTCCAGACCAGCTGCAGTTCAAGCTATAATAGGAGAATCTGCATCATCACCCACAATTGCAATCTCATCAGCAGTTGGACCTTTTCAAATTCCTGTGGTGAGAAATTCTTAATTCTAATACTTACAATTTTCATATTATTTGCCCTGATGAAAATCAATATTTTAAGTGTTTTGCCATAACCACAGGGAATGTTTCTCACAATGTGTCATTGTGACCGTGGCGGTTCCACACGGGCTCGTGCCCTCTCCGCTCCACCCTGCCGGTTCATCCCGCAACAAATGGGGCGCAACCCTGGGTCTCCGGCGTAACACAACAGGGAACCAGCGCGGCTGAGCGGCTGAGGTCCCTGCTACGCGCAGGGATGGCGATGACGTCACCGTGCCCAAACTAGCTCCGCCACATAATGAACTGCATTCAGAGCATAGTTGTTCTAACAAAACTGAATACAGTGAGTTATTTTAAATCCTAAAATTTTTAGATATTGTCTCTTCTTTACAGATCAGTCACTTTGCAACCTGTGCATGTCTGAGCAATCGAAGGCGATTCCCTTCATTCTTCAGAACCATCCCCAGTGACTTTTATCAGAGCAGAGCTCTGGCTCAGCTTGTGAAGCACTTTGGATGGACCTGGGTTGGGGCCATTAGAAGTGACAATGATTATGGCCACAGTGGAATGACTACCTTTATACAAGCTGCCCAGAAAGAGGGCATCTGTATTGAATATTCAGAAACCATTCATGAAAACTATCCGAGGAAGGACATTCTTAAAACCATAAATGTAATAAAAAAGAGCACAGCAAAGGCCATTATAGCTTTCCTTGCCCGAGCAGAGATTATTGTTTTATTGAGAGAATTATCACTTCAGAATGTAACTGGTCACCAATGGATTGGCAGTGAAGCCTGGATTACTGCCAGTAATGTTGCAACTGCAGAGGGTTATAGAATTCTGAGAGGAGCTATAGGGTTTGCTATTCTTAAAACCAAAGTAGATGGACTGAGAGAGTTTTTAACAAATATTCATCCATCACAACATCCAGGCAATGTGGTGATCAATGAGTTTTGGGAAACTGCATTTAATTGTTCCCTGACAAATGAAGAAAATTCAACTGGTAGGACAACTTGTACAGGGACTGAAAATTTAAGAGAAAAAAGTGGATATGCGGTTGTGTCGGAGATGAGATTTTTCAATAATTTATATAAATCAGTGTATGCTGTTGCATATGCTCTACATAGCCTGCTTGAGTGCAAACCACAAGGTCCTTCTTCCAATTACACTTGTGCAAAAATGAGTAATACTGAACCAAGGCAGGTAAAGTAGTAATTCATGTTCTACTTATACAGTATACTTATATTCTACTTCGTTCTGTAAAGTGCTTTGAGAAGCCATCTTTAAAGGTTCTATATAAAAAAAGTTTTTGGTTATTATCATTTATTACTGTACCATTAACCACTTCAACTTCAAGTCTAGCTTTAATGTTTGTAATGATAGCAACATGATGTTTTTTTGCACAGGTTCTTCAGCATCTCAAAAAAGTAAATTTCATAACCAAAACAGGAGAACAGGTCTCATTCGATGACAATGGAGATCCAGTTGCGAGATATGAATTAGTGAACTGGCAGCTTGTTAATGAGAGCACCATCCAGTTTGTGACTGTTGGTTACTATGATGCTTCACTGCCAGCAGGTCGTCAGTTTGTCATGAATCAAGTTAACATTTCTTGGGCAGGTGGTCAATATGAGGTAGGCATGTGAAAATATATAACAATGATTCCCTTTTCTTGTTGATTTGTCCTTAAAGAAAAGGCAAAATGAATCTTTTGAAGTGAAAAAAGTACACAATTCTATTTGCTTAATGATCTTAATTACTGTAGATTTGCTTGAGCTCTGTTCTTAAAAATATCTGTTTTTCTTTCTTCCTTGAAATAATTATTATACTACAAATATTTTAAATATGAACTCTTTACCTGAGAAAGATTTTCTCTGGAATACTTCACTGCCTCACAAAACATTTTATATTTTCATATACAGTACTATAATAATAGTTTTGAAGTCAATTTTGTTTGACCCTTGCTGTGCAGAAGCCTGAGTCAGTGTGCAGTGAGAGCTGTCCCCCAGGCACTCGAAAGGCAGTTCAGAGAGGAAGGCCTGTGTGTTGCTATGATTGCATACGATGTGCTGAAGGAGAGATCAGCAACACCACAGGTAAATAGTAGGACAGCGTATCAACATGCCTTAGTTTAATAAGTTACTGTAGTTTTAAGAAGTCAAATCAACAAATTAGTCACATAATATACAGTATATATATTTCCTTTATTAATGTGATTATTATTTATAATTAATTAGTATAGCAGATACATTTTTATATGCTTCTTTTTATTATGTATTGTACACTAAACAAAACTTGTGGGTTTCTTTGCAGATGCTAATGGCTGTATCCAGTGTTCTTTGGATTGTTGGTCAAATGAGAAAAGAGATGCATGTGTACTTAAAATAATTGAATTTTTGTCCTTTGGAGAAATCATGGGAATTGTGCTCTTGATATTTTCTGTGTCTGGAGTTGGTGTAACTATAGGGATAGCACTGATCTTCTTTAAATATAAGGATACTCCCATCGTTAAAGCCAATAACTCTGAACTGAGTTTCCTTCTGCTCTTTTCATTGACTCTGTGTTTCCTCTGTTCACTTACTTTCATTGGCCAGCCCTCTGACTGGTCCTGTATGTTGCGGCACACAGCATTTGGGATCACATTTGTCCTGTGCATCTCTTGTGTTCTGGGGAAAACAATAGTGGTGTTAATGGCCTTTAGGGCTACACTGCCAGGCAATAACATCATGAAATGGTTTGGGCCCACACAGCAACGATTAAGTGTTCTTGCTTTCACACTTGTACAGGTCTTGATTTGTGTTCTTTGGTTGGCAATATCACCTCCTTTTCCTAAAAAGAACATGAAATACTACAGAGAAAAAATAATTCTGGAGTGTGACCTAGGATCTGCAGGTGCATTCTGGGCTGTGTTAGGGTACATAGGATTCCTCTCTGCCTTGTGCTTTGTGCTCGCTTTTTTGGCTCGGAAGCTGCCTGATAACTTCAATGAAGCCAAATTCATTACATTCAGCATGCTCATATTCTGTGCTGTCTGGATCACCTTTATACCAGCTTATATCAGCTCTCCTGGGAAATTCACAGTAGCTGTAGAAATATTTGCAATTTTGGCATCGAGTTTTGGTTTATTCTTCTGTATATTTGCCCCAAAATGTTATATACTTTTACTAAAGCCTGAATTAAATACAAAGAAACATCTGATGGGTAAAATGCCATCATAGTCTCTGTAAGAAAGCCATGTGTAGTATATGTCTTTAATTATGTTTTGTAGTTTATAATAAAAAAATAATGTTTTAAAGAAATCCAGAATTTGAGTCAAGGATTCTTATTGCTATGTTTAGAAAATATGGTGGTGAAAAAATATGTATTTCCATTAGTATACACAAGCCTATTCTTTATGATTTAACTCTGTTTAATGTTACCTATACCTGTACCTTTGCAATAAATGCTAACAAGAACAAGAACGACGATGATGATGATGTTGTTCAACAGTACCAGATGCTCATTGTCCCCACTCCAGGGAGTAACTGCTTGCCTGCTGTGATCTTTACAGGAACTCTACACACTGGCCACTCTTTCAGCCTCCAAATGACCCCCCACTCTGTTAGAAGAGCAAGTTTTAGAACACTGCAATTATGTTTTGAGGATATCTGCAATCATGATATGAAACCATATTGTATTTTTGTTAGTAGCTGTATATTCTTTGAACCTGTAAAATTCAGGGTGTTTGCAAATTAGTTCATGCCAAGGAATTCCCATAAGCTGTGTTTTGACCCCTGTACACTTTTTACATGTTATTGCTTTTTAGTTGTCATGATCGCAAACCCCTCCACTTAAGGGCGCTCCAGCCCTTTCTAGTTCTGCCTCATTCCCCGCACCTGTTCCTTATTCCAGCCCCCTTTTGAGTTCCCCCTTAAAAGCCAAACGCAGACGATATTCGGGGCTCTACATTGATTCCTGTATCATGCGAGCCTGGGTCCTGAAGCATATGGCTTTTAACTTTATCTTCCTCTTCCTCTTCCTCTTCCTGTTCCCCCTGCCAGTCTTGACCCGGTTCCTGTTTTTAATCTCCTGTTTTGGATGGATCACCTTGCCATGGACTCATGCTCGTTTATGGATTCCCCGTTTGGACTTCTTCCTGGATTGTTTGCACCAGACTCACTCCCCTGGACACCTGCACACTTTGGACACGCCCCCCCCCATATTCATTCCCGATTCCTGCATTAATTTATCCTAGTGTTTCCTCACTCCACCCCAGATTGTGTCGTCCGCATAGGGTCTGAAAAGAACTGTTCGTGACATTAGTCTGATGTCATGACACATTAAAGTAACAATTGATGTCTGTTATACACACAGCTTTCTCCACACATTTAAAGTAAAAAAGAATAGACAACGTACATTAAAAATGAAAAAGAGGAAAACCTGTTTCAGCCTGCCTAAAAGTAGGTAAAGAAATAATTTTTCAGCAGGATAATGACCTAAAGCTACACTACAGTGGATTTAGAATAAGAAAGGGAATATCCCTGAATGGCCTAGTCAAAATCTTGACTTGAATCCTATGGTGAATTTGTGGAAAGACCGCTGTCCATAAACAATCCCTCAGCAACTTGAGAGCTTCAGTAAATCTGAAACTTTTGTTGTTGTTTTTTATTTCCCTATCAGCAAAATTGCACAAGAACAGTAAAAAAACTGATGCCAAAGCTGCTTCCACTGAATACTAGGTTCACAGGTCTGAATACTTATACAATATTTTTTATAATATGAAACATATTTCATTTCTTTCTCTCCTAGTATTTGCTGAGATTTACTGCAGTTGGAGCATTTAGGTTTTGAATACAATATTAAGGTAAAACACACGTGTACTGTATGAATCATAGGAAGGTTCTGAATACTTTTGCAAGACAGTGTATATTACGTTAACCAACATGAACCCTATAACAACCCCCCCAATGATTACTTTATTACTGTCGTTGTTCTTATTTGATTTTAATGTTTTAAACAGTGTTTGGATCTTTAAAATAATTATATTTGATAAACTATTTAATAATATTTGAAAAGAACTTTCAAAATGTAATCAGGGTATCTTTTCTGTCCCTGTGCAATTATTTACATATTTAGGTTTGTACAGTACATTTGAATACTGTAGTTATACCTTATGTACTTTTACAAAAAGTTGTCTATTTGTTTTAAGCCCTCTGACCAGCAAAACAGCTTGTACAGTGAGGCATTGCAACCTGCCAATCACACAAAAGTTTGTTAGGTGCACTTTTACCCAACAAGGTCCAGGTGTAACAATGCCCGATCAGGTTAACTTTAAAAAGGCCTTATTTCAAAGCTTAGGTCATTGCAAGAAAAAAGTCACACTTAGTCAGTTTTCTGTGCATTCCATAATACCTTGAATGTCACCAGAAGCAAGGGAGAGGGCCATTGGCATACTGCAGGCAGGCATGTTGTAACGAACAGTTCTTTCCGGACCCTATGCAGACGACACAGTCCGACGGAGTGGGGAAACATTAGGGAAACGTCATGCAGGAATACGGGGCAGAAGACAGGGGGGCGTGTCCAAGGTGCGCTGGTGCACGGGGGAGGTGTGGCCGAGGCGAACAATCCAAAAGAGTAGTCCTAAGGAATATCCAAAAACACACGAGAAAGTCCAAAACCAGAAGATCCATCAGAACAAGTTAAAAACTATGAAGGCCGGGTCGGAACCGGCGGACGGGGAACAGGAACGGGAACAGAGGTTAAAACCTTAACGGGACCAGGCGCTTCCAGGTCCCGGACTCGCACAATATGGAAATCAGATGCAGAGCCAAGATGAGAGTCAGCTCCTGGCTTTTAAGGTGGGCTGGGAATAGGGAGCAGGTGCAAAGAATAAAGTCTTAAATGAAAGGGCTGGAGCACCCTTAAGGAGGGGGAACTAATATCATACACATGTCATGTGCCAGCATTGCCAGACACTATGGAGTAAGCCACTCCACTGTGTCTCGACTGCAGAGAAGGTTTCAGCAGACCGTCAGGACAGATGACTGTCCAAGATCTGGTTGCCCTCGAGTGACCACACCAGAGCAGGACAGTTTAAGAGGGTTTTGCATGGTCAGAATGTGTGAGGAAAGACATGCTGGTGTAGCGGCGAGGCTTATTAATAAGAAAGAATTAAGTGTTCTGAGCCTTCCCAAATGAGGCCCCATTTCTCTGTTCATCTCTGTGGTGCAGCCACAGAGAAAC